TTTAACGTTTATTTTTGAGAGAGAGACAGAGCGTGAGCGTGGGAGGGGCAGAGAGAGAGAGGGAGACACAGAATCCCAAGCAGGCTCCAGGCTCTGAGCTGTCAGCACAGGCAGGGCCTGACGCGGGGCTCCAACTCACGAGCTGCGAGACCATGACCTGGGCTGAAGTGAGACTCTTAACCGAATGAGCCACCCAGGCGCCCCAACTTGATTTTTTTTTTTAATTTTTTTTTAGTATTTATTTATTTTTGAGAAAGAGAGGGAGACAGAGTGCAAGTGGGGGGAGGGGCAGAGAGAGAGGGAGACACAGAATCTGAAGCAGGCTCCAGGCTCTGAGCTGTCAGCACAGAGCCAGATGTGGGGCTCGAACACATGAACTGCGAGATCATGACCTGAGCCAAAGTCGGACGCTCAACCAACTGAGCCACCCAGGCACCCCTTAGATTTTCAACTGTATGTAGCCTTCCTATATTTGCTAACTAACCAGTAGTCCTCTGCTCTAATTCCTTGAACTACACCTGTGTTTGCCACTTTTTACGTGATTGTTTAAAACTGCTTTGAAGTAATTTCCTATTTGCTGCTGTAGTGTGTTATCAGAAATTTAGTGGCTGAAAACAACCCAAATTTATTCTCTTGAGTTGTGGAGGTAATGATCGTACTGGGCCCTAATCAGCCTGTCCTTCAGGCTGCATTCCTAGAGAGGCTCTAGGGGAGAATCTGTGTCCTCCTGCTACCCAGCCTCTCCTTCCCTGGAAAGCACTTCTGTGATTACATTGGTTCCACACAATAATCTGGGGTAATTCCTCCTCTCAACTCCTGGAGCCACAGAGTCCCTTTGGTCCTTTAGGATAACGTACTCACATGTCCTGGCTTTGAGATATGGATATCTTTGGGGGTGGGGGACATTATTCTATCTCCCACATATTTGTTTCTCCTTTTGTTAATCTCTGTTTTGAAATTTAACTCCTTATGCAAGATTCTTCCCGAAAGCCACTTTCTAAAAGGAAGTATTTAATAATTCCCCTCAGTCTTCTGTCTCTGCTCCTGTTAAATGTTGACTTTCTGAGATAATTTTCCTGTTTCGTGCATCCAGATTATTTGTATTCATTTATGTCTGTCCCACTTAATTGCCATTTCATTGAAGGCAGGGACTGTAGTTCATATCTTGAACTCCTAAATTTCCCCAAGTTTTTGCCTTTAAGTTATTGTGTGTTAAAGTAATATTTATTAAATTTCACTTAGCAAACAATTATTGTTTGAAAGAAATGGAGCTTAATATTTTTAGAGATTTGTTGGTAGGGTGAGAATGTGTTTCAATTTACATATTTAAAATCATGATGTCCTATTGACAGTTATTTGAATTAGTTTGTAAGATAGCATCTGGCAGACAAATGGGAACGATCTTCTAATTTTCTAAAAGTTGATTGATGCAGAGCAGTTGGGGGCGGGGTGCAAGGATCTGCATGTCAGGAACATGAGCCATAGATGTTTCTTTGTATGCACGTTGAGTGTGTCTGATGGCATATACCCAGGAACTGGTGGTTAGAGTTAAATAGGCAGAATATCCTCCTTTTTTTTTTTTTTTTTTTTTTGATAGTGGAATCTAGAAAAGGCCTCTTGTTAAAAACCACTTAAAATGAGAACCAAAACTTCATAATAATTAGTAGGGGGGTGGAGGGAGAGTTTTGAGTGGGAAATTATCTTGAAAAATGATAAAATTATCAGAATGTATCTTATAACTAATAATTTCTTAATAATAAAGAACTAATGAAGTATAGTATGCCCCAAATACATAAGTATATAATTATTCATATAGCAGGGACAGTGTGCTTTCAAATGGGTATAATGTGACCTGATTTTCCAGGATGATCTTCTGAGAAGTTGGTAGTAAAACATGTTTTGTAACATCCTACTGTTTTTTTTTTTTAAATAGGCCCAGAACCTCTTGGGAAGACTGGCATTATTTGGCAGTCTATTGGACATTCCTAAAGGAGTGGGCTTGGCACTCATTGAATCTGGCCAGTATCAGAAAATACTTACTGGTTGAAAATAGATTATAGGTGTAATTGATGGGAGTACAAGAAGGTTTCTAAAATAAAATTTTATATTTCAAAAACCTAAATCCTTGGATTTTCTCAGCACACTATTCACTTAATTCCTAAAAATTACGCATTGGGACCACAGCTCTGGCAGGCAGACTGCAGGCCCTTCTGTCTCCAACTTAGGATCTCAGATGTCTGTAAGGTGAGACTGACGGATACTCATTGCCTATGAAATAATGGAAGGTGCAGGCGGCCGGACCTAATTACTTCTTCCTTTGTGTTGTCAAAACATTTTTTTATAAAAATGTTTATTTACCTACTTATTTATTGTTTATTTACCTACTTATTTATTTACTTATGTAACCTCCACATCCATTGTGGGGCTTGAACTCACAACCTTGAGGTTAAGAGTCACAGCTCTTCTTTTTTTTTTTTTTTTTTAAATTTTTTTTTTTTTTTTTTCCAAACGTTTATTTATTTTTGGGACAGAGAGAGACAGAGCATGAACGGGGGAGGGGCAGAGAGAGAGGGAGACACAGAATCGGAAACAGGCTCCAGGCTCTGAGCCATCAGCCCAGAGCCTGACGCGGGGCTCGAACTCACGGACCGCGAGATCGTGACCTGAGCCGAAGTCAGACGCCTAACCGACTGAACCACCCAGGCGCCCCGAGTCACAGCTCTTCTGACTGAGGCAGCCAGGTCTCAGGTTTTGTAGCTTTGATATAGCTGTCTTTTCTGCTTTTTTTGTTTTTGTTTTTTCTAGAACGTGAACTTTTTGAGAACAGGAGCCAGATCTTTAAAAATTTTTGTTTCCTCACTGCCTACCATGGGTACTTAATAAGTGCTTTTGCAAGTGAATTAACTCCTTCCTGGGGCTTATTTTTTTAGCACATTACCCCAAACCAGTGGTCATATGTGAATATGTTAAAAAGAAGTGTTTTCCTGGGGCGCCAGGGTGGCTCAGTTGGTTAAGCCTCCGACTTTGGCTCAGGTCATGATCTCACAGCTTGTGAGTTCAAGCCCCGCGTCGGGCTCTGTGCCGACAGCTCAGAGCCTGGAGCCTGCTTCACATTCTGTGTCTCCCTCTCTCTGTGCCCCTAACCCACTTGCATTCTATCTCTGTCTCTCTCAAAAATAAACATTAAAAAAAAAAAATAAAAAAAAAAAGTGTTTTCCTTTATGTGTGCAATTCTGTGCATCTCTAGGTCACGCAGAGCCTGCTACTTAGGTGAGTCATTTATTCTTTTGTAGCATATTTTCATCTTATTTTAGTGATGCAGAAGAAAATTTTAAAACTTTATAAATGTGGATATGATGCACATTACTGACTAGATTGATTTATTAAAAACTGATGGGAGTTATTTTTCGGTAACCCCTTTTCTCAATAATTGAAATGTAAGCATGTGGTGCTTCACTGAATTTATTTTGATATTTTTACTTTTCTCTGGATTAGACTGAATCCAGGCAGACATTCCCTCTAGTTTGCTTTCTTTTTTAAATGTTATGTTCAATCTTGATATATTTTAATCGAATTATTTCTCTTGTGTTAAATGAAGAGACCGAGAGATGCTTTTGAGATCTGTCCTAGATAATATTTCTTTGGTATGAGTCATCATGGGTTTAGCCAAATTTAGGGTAGATGACTAAGAATCTTGTAATAAACTGATCTTCATGATCTGAATTGTGGGGTAATATCTACCATCTGACTAGGGATTCTTATCCTGGGATTCTTGTGTTTCTTCTCAGAGTCGATGACTTTCTGAAAAATTGTGCTAGGTTTATGTGAGTGTATGTATGCATGTTTTTCCTGGGGGTGTGTTTATAGCTATTCGAATCTTAATTGAGCTTATGGATTCTTTAAAAAAAAATTTTTTTTTTTTAATGTTTGTTTATTTTTGAGACAGCATGAACAGGGGAGGGTCAGAGAGAGAGAGGGAGACACAGAATCTGAAACAGGCTCCAGGCTCTGAGCTGTCAGCACAGAGCCTGATGCGGGGCTCGAACTCGCGACTGCGAGATCATGACCTGAGCTGAAGTCGGTCGCCCAACCGACTGAGCCACCCAGGCGCCCTGAGCTTATGGATTCTAAAGTTAAGAACTTCTCACGTAACACATAATGCCAATACTGCAATTATTTAACTCTTCTGGCATAGTGTTTGTAGAATTGCACAAATATTAGACACTTGAAATTGATGTTTCATTGGTTGGCTTGGATCCTCTGAAAGGTTGCATAAAATGATGGTTCATCTTCCCAACTTGCCTCCTCCTGCCTGTCCTTAATTCATGTAACATAAGTCCCTGTGATCCTCAGTCTGTGGTACCCATTTCTAGGCTTTGGTAACAACAGCACGTAGTTCCTGTGGCGGTGCTGAGCCCTACATAGACCCAGGATATACTATCCCCCATTAGCCGTGTCTGCATTAATTTTTGTTCCTTTTTGATGCATGGGTGTCATTTTTCATGTTTATCTTTTCTAATGCAGTGAGTCTTTGGTTAGCATTCCAGCCTTGTTGGAGTGGGTGGTGTGATAAACCGGCATGTTAGGATTAGGTACTGAGGGAGGCTGTGCGTGTGAAAGTGGGAGAGGGTAAACGGTGGAGGGGGTGCTTGGCATTGGTAACCTCTGCTCTTGACTTTCAGTGGTCCGTTTCCTTTCCTCCTGGCTTTGATGTTCTGGAGGATCAGTGGAGCTAGGTTACGGTCCTGTGTCAATGAAGGCATATACAAGGAGACACGAATTCTCTTGAAGTCATCCTGGATTCGACTGTTCCAGTAACTGGTTTCCTTCCTTGTCATTGAAGTGTTACTCTTTATACTTGAACTGAAAACGATTTAGGAACGCTTTCTAAAATGACTGTACTAAAATACGAGAAAGCTTTAAACATGCCAGGGCTTGCATCCCGTCCTTGGGTGAATGCTGCATGTCACATGGCTGCTGCCCTCTTCTCTTGGTTGTAGGTCGCCCCCAACGATGAAGCTGTGGTGACCTTGCTGTGTGAATGGGCGGTGAGCTGCAAACGGTCAGGCAAGCACAGGGCCATGGCTGTGGCAAAACTCTTGGAGAAGAGGCAGGCGGAAATCGAAGCAGAGGTAGGTTTGCTTTTGTTTCTGTTGTCAGATGCCATCATTTAAAAATAACTGTTCTGGGGAGGATTCTTTTTTTGTTTTGTTTTTTTAATACTCCTTATGTTTTTTGTTTTTTTTTTTTTTCTCCTCTTCAAGGAAAAAGGGAGAATGTTTATACTTTCACCTAAAGACTACATACAAGATCCCTCTAAGTTGATGAAACCAATAATTTGTATTCTGGACTAGTTTAAAACTGTACCTTTTTTTTTTTTTGCCTTTTTTTTTTAATATCAATTTTAAAGTGAGTGAGCAGAGGAGAGGAGCTGAGGGGAAGAGAGAGAGTGAGAATCAGTATGGAGCCCGATGCAGAGCTCAATCCCATGACCCTGGGATCATGACCTGAGCTGAAATCAAGTCAGGTTCTCAACTGGCTGAGCCACCTAAGTGCCCCTAAAATTGTATCTTTTATTTATTTATTTTAGTGTTTATTTATTTGAGGGGGGGGTGGGGTAGACAGAGAGTCCCAAGCTGGCTCTGCACTATCAGTGCAGAGCCCAATGTGGGGCTCGATCCCACGAACTGTGAGATGATGACCTGAGCTGAAATTGGGTCAGATGCTTAACTGACTGATCCACCCTGAAATTGTATCTTTTAAAATAAAACTTTAACATCTGATTTAGAACAAAGACATCTCCCTTGATGAGGTTAAGATACACATGCACATATATACATTTATATGTATACACACACACAAATATATATAATATACACCAACTTTTGTGAATTTTTTTTTTTATATATATTTTTCAGAGAGAGGGAGACAGAGTGCAAGTAGGGTAGGGACAGAGAGAGAGGGAGAGACAGAATCTGAAGCAGGCTCCAGGCTCTGAGCTGTCAGCACAGAGCCTGATACAGGGCTCGAACTCACGAATAGTGAGATTATAACCTGAGCCGAAGTTGATGCTTAACTGACTGAGCCATCAGGTGTCCCAATTTTTGTGAATTTTAAAGCCATGTAATATTTTGGTTGATCTGGAAACATTTCTTTGGGGCAGTTTGGATTTTCAGATTACAGATACCAATTTGTGTTAGTTTTGAGATTATATTCTGGTCCCAGAGAGAGCAATTAAAGCCTCGGAAGTAGATTATAAAGGGGGAAAAAAAACCAAAGCTAACTTGACAAACATTAGCTTGTGCTGAAGGGGAAAAAATTTAAGGGAGTCTTCTTATCTGCCAGTGAGATCTGGAGGGACAGCCAGGAGAAGCCGTGCACGTGGTCTGAGTGGCCCCCCCCCCTCCACCCCCGCTGCATCGGTGTCTCCTGGGCTCCTTGGCTTGTCCTCCGCCTTGTTCTTCACAGCAGCCAGAGCAGTCTTTGCAGCCTGGAAGCAGATCATGTTGTTCCCTTACTCAGACTCCTGATGGCTCCTTACCGCGTCCACAGAGCCTTGCACGGGCCTCCCCTGCCTGCGTTTCCACCTCATTTCGTGCATTTCTCCCCTGGGTCACAGCTGCAGCCACCTTGGCTGTCCTGTGGCTCCAGCACACCAAACCAGCTTCTGCTTTGGGGACTTTGTCCCACTGCTCCTCCTGGGTGGCACCCTCTGCTCCCCGAGTTCTACATGGCCAGTTCCTTTCTGCCCTTCCTCTTGCAGGAAGTGTCTCTTTCTAGCATTCCTGCCTCAACACATGTCTATCTCCTCAGGAAGATCCTCTGTCACCCACCCTCAGGCACGCTTTCTCATATCACTTGGTTTCACTCTGTTTCTCATATCACTCTGTTTCATTGGCTTATTGTTTAAAAGCCAGCCTATCACCTTCTACAATGTAAGCTTGACCATAAGGACCTTGCCCACCCTGTTCACTGTCTTGTCCTTGGCACCCAGAACAGTGTTCAGTGCACAGCAGATGCTCTAAAGGTGTTGTATGAACAGATGAGAACTTAGCTGGCTCTCTCTTACTGATAATAGTGCCATATCCTGTGAAGCTGAAATAGGAAGAATATTTCCATGGTCATTTCTCTCCTCTTGCTGGGAAAGCACTATTCACTAAATATAAAGGATCGCATTGTTCAAGCTGGGGCTTGAAGATACTGGTGTTGAGGTGTGAAACTCATGGCCCATTTTACAACGTGCAGATTAGGGAAGGTGTTTCATTGCTTCTTTCTATGAATAGATGGACTTTTCTACAGTGAATTGCAATGGTCAGACTTGAGTAACTGAGGTTGAATTTCTCAAATTTAGTTTACCCTTCTTCCAACGTGTTCTAGAATGAGCATATACACGTGTGCACACGCACACACAGTTGCTTTCAGAACAGGCTTCCACAGATTACTTTGTAATTTTAATAGGTGTAAATGTATCCACATCTAAAGAATGTATTCTTTCAGAGATGTTTAAGATAATTGATTGCCAGGGTTGTCTAGGTGGCTCAGCTGGTTAAACATCCGACTTTGGCTCAGGTCATGATCTCATGGTTTGTGAGTTTGGGCCCCTAATTGAGCTCTGTGCTGATAGCTCAGAGCCTGGAGCCTGCTTCAGATTCTGTGTCTCCCTCTCTCTCTGCCCCTCCCCTGGTTGCACTCTGTCTCTTTTGCTCTTTCTCAAAAATAAACATTAAAAAAAAAAAAAAGATAATTGATATCTATTGAACATCACCAGTTTCAGAATTTGGTGAAGAGAGGATGGATTAGAGAAGTAATATCTTAATGAAATAATGTATTAAGGAATAGATAATGAAAGTGGGAAGGTTGAAGGGATATTGAAAAGAATAGAAAACAGGGTTCTGATTCTTTTTCAACGGTTTCTTTTCTGGTCTTCTAGTAAGTTCTGTCTTGGATGTAGAAGTTAGGGAGCTTTCTTTAGATAGGTTTCTTGAACTATGGAGATTCCACGAGTTCTAAGAGATCTTAATTGGTGATGTGATGAGTGAAAGAAATGTATCAGAGGAGTTCTCCTAGCTCTGTCATTTGACACCACACTTCCCAACACTCCCCGAAGACAATCGTAAATACACTCTACTAGTAAAAGCAAACACAAAAATATTAAACTCAGTATACATGCCCAAATGTTTCTCAGAGGGGGTATATACAGTTAACTATATGAGCTGTTTAAAAATGACAGCCCCAAATGATTTTAGCAGTTTTGCGTAGGGATAACGAGTAGCTTATTGTACTATGCTGTGTATTCAGTAGGTATTTATACCACGTGGTGCAGACTTTGTAATTTACATCAATAATATTTTTCATGGGTGTCCTTTGGAATCATTTCAGTTGATCTGGGGGTAGTTGTCCCTCACTTTCATTTAAAAATTTTTTAATGTTTATTTATTTTTGAAAGACAGTGTGTGAGTGGGGAAGGAGTAGAGAGAGAGGGAGACACAGAATCCGAAGCAGGCTCCAGGCTCTGAGCGGTCAGCACAGAGACCCATGCGGGCTCAAACCCAGGAACCATGAGGTCATGACCTGAGCTGAAGTCAGACCCTTAACCAGCTGAGCCACCTAGGTGTCCCTAGTTGTCCCTCACTTTCAGAAATTATATTTACCTGTGATGCATAGCCCTCAAATAAAGTACAGAAATCTCAATTAATTCTGCATGTTTTTTCTGAGAATTTAACTGTTAATAAAAAACTGACAAATTCATGATCCATTGTGACTACATTGTCCTCCAAAATTAACTATGTTTGTTTATTTTTAATCTTAGAGATGTGGTGAATCAGAGGTCTTGGATGAGAAGGAGTCCATTTCTTCAGCCTCTCTTGCTGGATCTAGTTTGCCTGTTTTCCAGAATGTGCTACTAAGGTTTTTAGATACACAGGCCCCCTCATTATGTAAGTAAAGTTCTTTGCTTCTCGATCTTAAACAAGAAATTGACCAGTTTTGGGGAATTAATGCTTCTTTTTTTTCCCTAGCTTACATCATAATCAAAAGTTTTTGGTGCTGAATATAATGTATATCTTACTGCGCAAAATTTTGTTGTGTGTTTTTAAATTTTTTTTTTTTTTAACGTTTATTTTTGAGACAGAGAGAGACAGAGCATGAACGGGGGAGGGTCAGAGAGAGAGGGAGACACGGAATCTGAAACAGGCTCCAGGCTCTGAGCGGTCAGCACAGAGCCTGACGCGGGGCTCGAACTCACAGAGTGTGAGATCGTGACCTGAGCCGAAGTCGGCCGCTTAACCGACTGAGCCACCCAGGCGCCCCTGTTGCGTGTTTTTAATAGAGACTTCTATGCAGTTTTAAAATCAAGTGAGCTTCAAAGATTTAAAAATTTCTAGAGTTTCAAAAATTTAAAAATGAGTCCCCTCATTGTCTAATTAATATTTGGTGGTCTAGTTTTCCCTTTCTAGATCTTTCTTACCAAACAAGAGGAACTATGGTCTTGTGATGTTTCGCTATCTAATCACTATTGTGATTACGAATTTTCTGTTTTTGCTTAGTTTTCAAAATAATCTGATTTTCTACATTTCTAATAAGAAAATAAAAGTACTTTGTATCCAAGTCCTTGATACAAGGAAATAATTTGTACATATAGTTGGCTGCTTGCCTACACTTTATGGGTTGTTCTGTCAACTCCCGTTCTTCCTTTTTTTTTATTTTTTTTTTATTTTTTAAAGTTTATGTATTTATTTTTGAGAGGTGGGGAGGGGCAGAGAGAGGAGGAGAGATAGAATCCTAAGCTGGCCTCACGCTGTCAGTGCAGAGCTTGATATGTGAGGCTTCATCTCACGAACTTTCAGATCACGACCTGAGTCAAAATCAAGAGTCAGGCATTTCATCAACTGAGCCACCTAGGTGCCCTATCATCTCTCGTTCTTCTATCTTTTATACTGTTGTTCATGGGGAGTTGAGGGTTTGGGAATTACAAACCCAGTGGGTTTATACAGTAAGTGCACACTTAAAAAAATTGTTTATGCATGTTAAGAGGGCTTGATCTTATTCTGAGGCTTTTGTGTGACAAAGTACAGCAGGGAGGATGGATAGTGATGAAACAACAAAAATGGCACAAGGAAATGTGGTAGGGGTGGGAAGGACAGGTTTGTGGTGAAGAAGGAGGTAACATAACAAGAAACAGTACTACTTTCCATTCCTCTCAGAAAGTCCTTGGTTTGGGTTGAATGATACTTTGGGCTGAGGTTCTTTTAGTTAGTTGGTGGCTGTTGTGGGCTAGAGGGAGAGCAAGAGCCAGAGAGATACTGGTGGTTGGGAAGTAGGGGGCAACAGTGAAACATGGGAAAGGAAGCAGAAAAATGCAGGGACGGAAGAGATCCTGGAGAGTAGAAAATAGATTGCCGGGAATGGATGTCAGCTTCTCTAACTTATCTTGTATCCTGGGGGAGAAAGGTACACATTTGCCCTTCGTGCCCCTTATCCTGTCCTCACTCCTGTTGGTTCTTTGGGAAGACCTTTCTCCTGTGCCTTTGCTTGTTCTAGATCTGGTTTCCTGCTGTTAGAGAAAGCTGTGCTTCTCTTCTGTCATTGTTGTTTGTCATTGACTTCGGTGGTGGACAGCAGCAAATGCTTAGGCTTCAGTTTTAGGGAGCGAGCTTCATGTTGCCTAGATTTTGTTTGTCTTTGTTGGTGTTTGTGAGTGCGATGGCACCACAGACTGAGTGCTGAAGGATTGTTCTTAACCTTTTTTAGTCTCTGTCAAGGGTACAAAGTTGTAGAATGCAACTGCAATATTAAGTTACCACGTGAGTTAAATAGACTGGCTATGAATTGAGCAAGACTGCAGAGCTCCATCTTTATGCCCTTCTTTTTTATTCCATCTTCCCTTTTTTTTTTTTCCAGTAGATCCCACTCACTATTATTTTCAGGTACCTTTTCAGTTGTTACATTGTGAAGTTTTTGAAAAAGTGTGCACACACGTCATGAATATATCGACACCCTCAAGCTATAAAAATAGTCATGAGCTGTTTCAGTAGTAAAACCAGAGGAAAGCAGTTTAGCTCTGCTTCCCTCCCACCCACCCCATGTGTACCTGAAATTTTGTGTTTGTATTAATTGAATGGTTATTCATTTGCCAAGGACCACTATCTTTAAATTTGAACTTGAGCTTAGCACATCAGATATTGTTTTTTAATTACAGGGGGACAATCAAAACCCCCGTGCCAGTTTTGCACAACTGCTTCTGTCTCATAGTGAATTTTCCAATAAATGTTTCACTGTGTTAAAAAAAAATGTATGAAAATATTGTTAAGCCTTCCTGTTTGGTGGGTTTTTTTGTTTGTTTGTTTGTTTTTTCCTGCCAGGTCAGGGAGACAATTCTTGATTTGTTTCTTTATAGCGGATCCAAACAGTGAATGTGAAAAAGTAGAATTTGTGAATTTGGTGCTGCTCTTCTGTGAGTTCATCCGACACGATGTCTTCTCCCATGATGCGTACATGTGTACCCTCATATCTCGGGGAGACTTGTCAGTCAGCGCCTCGACTCGGCCGCGATCGCCAGCAGGAGAAAATGTAGATGAGCACTATCCAAAGGACCATGACATGAAAATGGAGGTATGCCCCTGGGAGTGGTGCCCCAAACGCGAAAACCACACTCAGCTGGGCACTAGTTTCACAAGGATTGTTTGGTGGTGGAAGGGTGATTACATTTTACTTGTATTCTCCCATTACAGAACTTGTTTATCTCTACCCTAAACTTGTGGAGAAAAAAAACAAAACAAAAAACAACATTGGATTATAATTGATACATTCCAGAAGTTTCTTTTGGATACTCTAAAACTATTAATGAAAAGGTTTGACAGTCCGTAACATTTTTTTACTGGACAGGAATTAAATACTTCCAATTTTATGTGTTTCTAAATTCCAGTTTCCTTGAATGTTGTGACTTAAAATCAGATTTGTTTTGGTCCCATTAGAAGGAGCATCTTTAACCCCAATTCATTCATTGTTTCTGTCTTTGATACAAAATGGGAATTCTGTTTTGATCATAACACATATTTTCATTTAAATTAACAACTTTATCTCTCAAATGTTGCGGAATTTTTTTTTTCAACAAATTATAATACTGTGAGTATGACTTTTATCATTTTCTGCCGGTTTCTGGTGTTTTGGACATCATTCCAGATACTTAAAGAAGTTTTCAAGGCAGAAAACATGAAGGTGGTGATGAGAAAGAGTAGAAAATGGTGAGAGATTGTGACAGTTCCTTAAAATCAAGCTTCAAATTGGTTCTGTGGGAGTTTAAGCATAATGAAAATATTATGGTATTTTTAAAACTGTGGTTATCCTTGTAAAGACCTGATGTTAGAATTGCATGTGTGAATTCATAGTTTGTGCTCTTAAGATTTGGTGATCAAATGGTGCAGGAATTAAAAAAAAAAAAATCATTTCCTTAATGTAAACACCATTGTTTCCGAATTTGACCACAGTAGAAGTTTAAAGGCTAAAAACTAAAGTTACTGTACCTGTTGATGCTTTATCTATGTTTCTGTTTTTTCTTTTCTATTCTTGGATGTCCAGGTATCTTGTATCTTGGGTATACTCTTAGATTTTTTTAAGTACAGTTGGTGAGCATGTGACTGGAAATAGCCCAAAGGAGGGACGTTATGGCCAATTTGATTTTTAATTAGGAAGTTTGTGTGCTTTTTCCTTCAAGTATCATGGAAGTTAAATCTTTTTTTTTATCATGAGGATAAAGAATGTGACTTTGTAAAAACAGTGAATGTCTTAAAACTTCCTTCTCTTTTTTGGGAAAAGTAGATACTAGGGAGAGAAAAGACATAGGATGGTTAAAAAATCATTGTCATATTTTAGCTAGTTTGTAATGAACTACAAAATTTACAGTGCAACTTTCTTTCTCTGGCAATTATCAGGAACAGACTATTATGGCGCATATGGGCATTGACTCAGGAACTACTAATATTTTTGATGAAGTAGACAAGAATGACTTTAAAACTGACTTTGGTTCGGAGTTTCCAGTAGGTTCAACCTTCAAATTCTTATTGACTATTAACCCCTCCTCCCCGCCTGCACCCCAGCTTGTCTCCATCCTTCTGTTCCTTGACCCATGTCCTGGAATGACCTGTGTACTTGTGATGTAAATGTGCTCATTCCATACTCCTTTCTAGTGTACAGTTACTCATCTTGTGATTGTCTCATTTCAGCTCATTCATAGTTTTGGTTGCATCGCCTCCTTTGTGAATTATAACATTCTGTCCTCCTGGCTGACTGTCTTTTCTCTTTTGTTCATTTTGAGACCATTGTCTCTGAGGAATACATGAAGATAGTAGTTTCATCGTGACAGTCCTTGTTGACTTGCTATGTATGTGTTCAGTTTCTAAATAATAGCTTTCCTGGCTCTGGACTTGTTATACTTCTTCAACCATATCTCAGTATGGTTATAGTATTTTCTTCCTCATGGATCCAAATGAGGTCCTTTATAAAAAATCATACTGTTTGGGGTATATACTAAAAGCTTTATTATTCATTAGTTTATTTTTTAAACTTATTTATTTTGAGAGAGAGAGAGTGTGTGCACACAAGTGAGAGACTGAGGGAGGAGCAGAGAGAGAAGGTGAGAGAGAGAGAATCCCAAGCAGGCTCAGCTCTGAGCCAAGTCTGATGTGGGACTTGAACTCACCAACTGTGGGATCATGACCTGAGGTGAAATCAAGATTCAGACACTTAACCATAACCAACTGAGCCACCGAGGCGCCCCACTGTTATTCATTAGTGTTGTTAATTATTTCTTTGTGTATGTTTTTGTGGGAGATTTAGCCTTATGAGGAAACATTTAACCTTGAAGTCCAATGTTAACTCTGGCCCTCTGGAGAGTGCAGCTCTGAACAGTTCTTACATGTGTGTGGTTGTCACTTTCTTATCTGCAAAATGGGGCATGATGTTGATGGTCTCCTTTGGATCTGAATATGAATTTTGTGGAAATTAACAAAATTTATTTATATATTTTCTTAGTGTTTAAATAAGGAAAAGATAGTGTATGAATGTCGTGTGTGTGAAGTTCTGGCATGTAGCACTGTGTTGTGTTGCTCTCTTTCATTTACAATCTCCAACATTTGTTTTACATGACTTAGATTTTTTCTCCCATGCCTGGAGAATCCTGTGAGAATGCCAACCCTTCCTTGGGCAGAAGAATGTCGGTTAATGGTGAGAAGTTGCTTAAGAGAGAAAAACCCAGGGAGTTGATTTTTCCATCTAATTATGACCTTCTGCGGCACCTGCAGTATGCAACACATTTCCCCATACCTCTGGTAAGTCATTGCTTCCATCAGTTGGCACCCTGATTGTTCCATTATGGGATCATTAGCCATTGATTATTCCATTGTGTGTCTCCATAACACATATGAAAGGAGGTGAGTTTTTGCATTTACTGCTTCTTTTGTTATAATTACAATTGTATAGCACACATACGGATGTAGTTTAAATTTGTGATGTGATACTACTGGCTAGCTAGATTTAATGGAATTTTCTAGGTTACTATCCTTTTATCAAGAGCATTTGAGTCACTGTAAATGATGTCTAAATGTGTTTTCCTATTTTTTGAAACTTCATTTACTAGTAGCTCTTATGTGCGTTGTATTGTGCTAGGTACTTGTGGTATTATACAGATGAATGAGAATTGGGGGCATAGGAAAGATGAATAAGATAGGAGGGAGACACATAAAATGATCAACACTAAAATGAGTGCAGTGATTGAGTGAAACCACATGTGCCCTCTGGAAGATAAACCATTTGACATTCTTGGGTCTCTTCCACTCTCAGAGAATAAGTATTAAAGGGGAGAGAGAACATCTGATTGAGAAATGGGTTAAGGCTTCATAGAAGAGGTTGTATATGACATGGACTTGGGTTTTGATCTGTTGAATTTAAGAGTTGATAGCATATGAGAAATACTTGGGAAATTTAGTGTTGGACTCAGAACTTGTGATTTGCATTTTGCTGAAGGGGAACAACATCGGTTTCTTGATATTCATAAAAATTGGGCCCAAATCTAAACGTGTTTATATTCTTAAATTACTGTTTTTTCTCCTGGAATTTTAAGTGAAATGTTAATGAGTCATTCTTTCATTGAGCACTAATAATATAATTATTATTATTATTATTATTATTATTTTAACAAGTGTAATTTTGAGTAATGTATACTGTTATCTTCTGGATACCTTTGAGGAATTTTGATCTGTAAACTAAGCGTTTTTTTTTTTTAAGTTTATTTTGAGAGAGACAGAGAGAGACACCACATGTGTAAGTTGGGGAGCGGCAGAGAGAAAGAGAGAGAGAGAATCCCAAGCAGGCTCTGCATTGTCAGCACAGAGCCTGATGCAAAGCTTGAGCTCAGGAATTTCGAGATCATGACCTGAGCCAAAGTTGGATGCTTAACCAACTGAGCCACCCAGGCACCCCTAAATAGTTTAATTTTTAATTTTTGTTGTTATTTTGGAACTTTCAAAATCACTACACCTATATATATTTTTATTACAATTTTTCTGTCCAGAGCTATGTCAAAAGTTGCCACAATTCTTTCTTGCACATCACTGGCTGAATACATTTTTTAGCTGTTACCTGTATACATCACTCATTTTCAACATAATGGAATAATCTCACTGTTCATTTGGAACAATAGAAGGGGTGGCCTGATAGTTTAGAGATGTGTCCTGAAGAGTTTATGGATGAACTATTACAGTGCCTGGAATTTGCTTTAAAAATAGTTGGGAGTCAAGAGTGGGGTTAGGCAGTATAGGGAAGTCTGGAGTTTGGTTAACCGTTAATGCACCAATGTTAATTTCCTACTTTTGGCAAACGTGTCATGGTTACATGAGGCATTAACGTTAGGGCGAACTGCATGAAAGGTATATGGGAACTTTCTGTACCATCTGTGTACCTTTTCTATAAATCTTAAAGTATTCCAGGGGCGCCTGGGTGGCGCAGTCGGTTAAGCGTCCGGCTTCAGCCAGGTCACGATCTCGCGGTCCGTGAGTTCGAGCCCCGCGTCAGGCTCTGGGCTGATGGCTCGGAGCCTGGAGCCTGTTTCCGATTCTGTGTCTCCCTCTCTCTCTGCCCCTCCCCCGTTCATGCTCTGTCTCTCTCTGTCCCAAAAATAAATAAAAACGTTGAAAAAAAAAAAAAAAGTATTCCAAACTAAAAAGTTAATTTAAATATAAGGGCGAGGGGTAATAGAGCAGATATGACAAAATGATGAAAATGGCTGAAACTAGTTGAAGATTCTGTGTTTCTCTCTTGGGTAAGTGGAGCTTTGCTGGCCTTCCTCTTCCTTGCATCTGGGCGTGCAGGACACTACCCAAACATGGACATCTTTATTCTCTTGTTCATGTAATCCTTGGCTGCACAGTCATTCCCACCATGTAACATTCTAAAGACTGTCCACTTCCTTAGAGGAAGAAGCATGAATGATTTCCAGTGATTAAGTCTCTCATGATGGATTATGATAGAATTCAACTGTAATGCGTTCATACAAGAACTGCTAGAAAATTGATATCATTGGATACAGTTTATTAATAGCTTTCCATCACCAGTTGCCCTAGACTTCCCTTTACTGTGTCATTTAGAATAAAATATTAGTAAGGGGAAAATGAACATATATGCTAATATGAGATTGACATTAGGAATGCTGTACAGAGTCTGGTTCTCTTTCTTAATAAAGGTATATTGCCATTTTTTTTTTTCAACGTTTATTTATTTTTGGGACAGAGAGAGACAGAGCATGAACAGGGGACGGGCAGAGAGAGAGGGAGACACAGAATTGGAAACAGGCTCCAGGCTCTGAGCCATCAGCCCAGAGCCTGACGCGGGGCTCGAACTCACGGACCGCGAAATCGTGACCTGGCTGAAGTCGGACGCTTAACCGACTGCGCCACCCAGGCGCCCCTCTCTTTCTTAATAAAAAGGGAAAGTTTGACTAACTTATTATGCATGTGAGGAAAATATGAGAATGTGCTGGGGGAAAAAAAATTGTTTGCCTCCTCCCTCCAGCCCCCGATCTTGAAGATGTGGCCCTAGTGAGTGAAGACCAAGGAAAGAAGACTACTAGGGCCTTGACTAAAAGATTCAGGAAAAGAATCTAGTAGTTGTATGTAGGACTATATGAATGATGTCTTGATCTGCCTGTCAGTAACAACATGTTGTTAGACTATTGACAAGGACAAGTTTTAGTGTATCACCATTCTACCAGCCTGTAACATAATTGTGTCCTTTACGCCTTGTGTCAGATAGGTGATGCAATGCGGGGTTCTGTCATTACCACTAGCTAACTAGAATTTGTCCAGCACTTACCATGTTAGAAGGGTAACAGACATTTTCTTTTGTGCATTTTCTCACTTATTATTCTCTTCAAAATCCGGGAATACTGAAATTGTACACAGGAATTGTCCTGGGTTCAAGCTTCAGAAAATAATTCCTCTCAGTGCGGTACTAAAAATAGCCCCGGAATGAAACCTGTTTTGTTAGCTTCCAGGAACACCATTTCTTTCTTTCTTTTTTTGTTTTTGTTTTTAACATAAATGGGAAAGTTTATTAAAGCGAAAGTACACTTTTGAGATGTGAGAGTGGGCGAGCTCTCTGTCTCTCGAGAGTGCTGCCAGGAACACCATTTATTAATCACCGCAGCTAGTACAAATGTATTACCAATTGTTGTAATTGTTGTAAAAGTTGGGCTTTTGCTCTTGAAATGAGAAAAAACCCCCACATAGTCTCAAGTCTGGTTATCTAAATTTTTCAATCTTCTTTTTCCTAAATCTTTTATTTAATACCATCTATTGAATTCTTTTTGCATTACTTGTAGTCTAGAGAATTTGATCTAAGGATTGTGACCCTGAGAGCTAGAGTCACCCATTCTTTAAACTGTTGGCCCCACGTGGGGTCAGTCTCAGACATGGCACCAGTCAGCCCAGCACGTGTTATGTTCGTAAGAAGGCCTTGCTATGTGGATCTGGCATGTCTATTTTAAGGCCATTTGACTAGTGCTGTTTTTCCGTACCTTTGATGTGAGTTTCTAGTTCCAAAACAGTAGTTTCAGCAGTTAGTATAGTTTAACACCGTGCTTGGAAATGTTATAGGGTAATATTTCATGTTACTACAAAATGAAAATAAGTCACTGAAGTTGTCATCGCTAACATTAGAAAATCTTTAAAATCTATGAGAATATGAGTATATATAGTACATCGAAAACTATCCATGTATTTTCAAGCCTTTTTCAAAATAAACAGTTTTAGTTATTGTTTTAGAAAAACCATTAGATCTTAAAAATTGGAGTAGTGAGCTAGATGATGACTAAAAATAAATCAGGACAAGTGGTTTCATGTAAAGATCAGCTGGATTTTATTTAGTATGATCTAAATGGTTTTAAATCGTGTTGCCAAAGGGCTTTCTGGCATCTTACATGGAGATCATTTTGCATATTTCTATCAAGAAGTCAGTTCCCAATATTCAAATGGATACTTCATGAATGACTCTGAGTCTGTGTCATAAAACTTCTTTAGGTTTCAAGGATAATGCAAGGTGTTGTGTTGGTTCAGCAGTACTTTTTAGGTTTTTTGTTTTGTTTTTGTATGAACGTGGTTTAAGCACCACAAGGGTGCTGCTCGATTTACATTTAGAAACAGTTTCTGAGTAAAGCAGGCCACATATGGTAGCTGTCTTTTACTTAGGCTATCTTTTCTCTTTCCCAGTACTTACTGTCACTGAGACAGGAAGTGATAGCATGAAATATCCCATATTTTATGCACTGCTCTCACCACTTGATTTTTCTTTTGGAGTCTTGGTCTCCTTATGTGAAGCAAAAGTCTTGGTGACTTTTAGGCGGAATGCTTTTGAGAGATGGTAGTACAGGATAGGATCAAAACACAGGTTCGACACTGCCAGGAGCAGCGTGGCCTCTTTGGCTTTGAAGAGTGAAATCCTGGTTGGGCAGTCAGATATTACTTCTGTCTGGCTGAGGGTGTATGGGATTCGGACAATGTGATACGGAACAAAGCATATAATGTAGCCTGTAGTCACTAAAAGTATGTTGATGAGGGCCCTTTTCACATATAGATAATTTTCATTATCTTTGTTTCTGTAGAGTTGTCGAATTACAAGGCAGTTAGATATTAAAATGATGGCTGAGAAATTTAAAAATATTGCTACACATATGAAATTGGTCAGCAAATGCCAGTTTCTTCCAAACTCCTTTTTGAATTCCATGCATCCCACATTTGGCTTCTCCTCGATGTCTTTGATGGGAATTATCATGTTGGGCACCATTATAAGAAGGACCATTAGCCACACCACGGTCGATATCATTTTGGCAAATCCAGGTTCTTGTATCCGATAAATCTTAGAGCTGTACGTCAACTGAAGACAACGATCAATACTGACAAATGCTAAGAAGATAATTGATAAGTACATATTAATGTAGATGAGGCAGGCTGTCACTTGGCAGTGAAATATCTTCAGCTTCCAGGGTGCCACACCCAAGTCAACAACGATTTTCACTGGTAATGCCAGAGTGAGCAGGAAATCAGCTGTAAGCAAGTTAATTAAGTATATGCTTACACACCTGTGATTTGTGTTGTTCTGTATGAAAGCCCAGGTTGCAAAACCACTTCCGATAATTCCAACAAGAAAAACTAAATAAAAAAAATATGTGAACGGCTCCAGACCTGTGTAAACTGGGCAGAAGAGAGAACTGTTTGTCATCTTGAGGGAAAGGAAGGATGACTCTTCAAAAAAAAAAAAAAAAAAAAAAAAAAAAAAAAAAAAAAAAAAATCCGAAGAATCTGTTTAAAAAAATGGTAGGGACGTTAGTAATTAAAATTAGCGACTATTTTCTGTTAAAACATCTATATTCACAATGCTAGGTTACAATTTTTCTAATTCTTTTTTTTAAAAAAAAATTTTTTTTTCAACATTTATTTATTTTTTGGGACAGAGAGAGACAGAGCATGAATGGGGGAGGGGCAGAGAGAGAGGGAGACACAGAATCAGAAACAGGCTCCAGGCTCTGAGCCGTCAGCCCAGAGCCCGACGCGGGGCTCGAACTCACGGACCGAGAGATCGTGACCTGGCTGAAGTCGGACGCTTAACTGACTGCGCCACCCAGGCGCCCCACAATTTTTCTAATTCTTATAGGAAATTTTATTGGTGAACTTACTAGATTGTGTGGACTGGTGGGAACGTCTGAGATTATGAGGAAGCCTGGGTTTTCCATGGTGTGATTTCATGATTTTGGAATTCCCATGTATGTTTGCTTCTAGAAGGGATTTTTGTTAAGAAGTTATTTTTATTTATTTTCATAAAGAGACTAATGATTTAAGTTTATTTTCAGAAAGCAAGCGAGCGTGAGTGACTGGGAGCACAAGCAAGGGAGGGGCAGAGAGAGGGATAAAGAGAGAATCCCAAGCAGGCTCTGCATTGTCAGTATGGAGCCCTGTGAGGTGGGGGTGGTGGGCTACAACTCATGAACTGCGAGATCATGACCTGAGCCGAAATACAGAGTCAGTCTCTTAACTGACTGAGCTGCCCAGGCATCCCTTAAGATTTTATTTTTGAGTAACTTCGACACCCAACATGGGTCTCAAACTCACAACCCTGAGATCAAGAGTTGTTCACTTTACCAATCAAGCCGGTCAGGCGCCCCTAGAAGGGATATTTTGACATCACACTTTTGTATTCCGGTAGTTCTTTTGCTACCAGTTGTGTTGGAAGTTAGTTTGCAGAGGAGGTAAGTGAACTGAAATTCTGAGAAACAAAGAAAGGAAATGAAGGTAACATTGTTCGGTTGTGGCTAAGCCTGGAGAGGTTTCACTGAGCTTCCTGGCCTGCTTTTTTCGTAAATTGACAAGAGCTCTTCATGCTGGAGGAATGTAGGCTGAGAGGGGAAGTAATGGGTGACAGAAAATTGTACTGAAATTTAGAGGGAGTTACTTTGAAAGTAGGCCCTTCATTGTGTCATCTACTAGAACATTTTCACAGTCAAAATTGCATTTCATTTTTCTTTTTAGCAGAAAGAGTTGAAGGGCTAGAGTCTGGTCTTGATGCTTATTCCTTCCTTTTCCCTCACTCAGTTTCCTAATGACCTAGACCTTGTGATGTCCACTATGTAGCCACATGGGACTATTGAGCACTTGAAACGCGGCCATTTCAGATTGACATGTGCTGTGAATGCAAAATACACACTGGGTTTTAAAGATGTTTTAGGAGATATTATGAAAAACATTACAAGTAGTAAAATTTCACTATTGTATACAAATAGTACAGTTAATAAAATCTCAATATTTTTATATTCAGCATATGTTGAAATGGTATTTTTGATGCATTAGGTTAAGTACGTTATTAAAATTAATTTCTCCTGTTTATTTTTGCTTTTGTAATGCAGGTACTAGATCATTCTAAAGTATCTTTCTGGTTTGTGTCCTAGTTCTATTAAACTGTGCTTGTATGGATGTTTCTGTGTCAGTGCTTTTTTTTAAAAATTATTTTTAATGTTTGTTTATTCTTGAGACAGAGACAGAGCATGAGCGGGGGAGAGGCAGAGAGAGAGGGAGACACAGAATCAGAAACAGGCTCCAGGCTCTAGGCTCTGAGCTGTCAGCATAGAGCCTGATATAGGGCTTGAACTCATGGACTGTGAGATATGACCTGAGCAGAAGTCAGATGCTTAACCTATTAAGCCATCCAGGCGCCCGTCTGTCAGTGTTTTTGAGAAATTAGACCATGGATGTATTTTAAAGGCTTCTAGAACAAGAATATATGATCATTGGTTACAAAATTTTCAAGGAGAAGCTCAGTTATGTTAGCATGAAAACATCTATCATACTTGAGTGTTTTCTTTTTTCTTTCATTGTAGGGTTTGAAAAGTGTAGGACATGTTCTTAGGACCATTGTGATTGACACTGATAATGCTGAAATCATGACGTATTCCCTCCATTCCTGGAGGGAATTGTTCCTCCTCCTGGAACAATTAGAGGTTGATAAGTGCAAGTTAAACCATTTGGGCTTCGTTTACTCCCTCTGACCTGGTCGAAATTAATGCTCTTAGTGCCATAGGTACATCTCTCTAGTGCTGATTCTGGTGTGCATGCTCCTCATACATAGTAAACACCTGCCTTTTGTTTCAAAGACCAGATTTTGTGTTTTAGCAGAAAAAAAACCGATACACAACTTCTTAAAAATAGCAAATAAGTACAGTGGCTAAAAAGTCCAAATAAGCCCATTCTCTGAAACCTCCATTTATTTTTTATTTTTTAAAAAAAAATTTTTTTTTCAACGTTTATTTATTTTTGGGACAGAGAGAGACAGAGCATGAATGGGGGAGGGGCAGAGAGAGAGGGAGACACAGAATCGGAAACAGGCTCCAGGCTCTGAGCCATCAGCCCAGAGCCCGATGCGGGGCTCGAACTCACAGACCGCGAGATCGTGACCTGGCTGAAGTCGGACGCTTAACCGACTGCGCCACCCAGGCGCCCCTGAAACCTCCATTTAAAAGTAAAACAACAGAGGTGCCCGGGAGGCTCAGTCAGTTGGGCATCCAACTCTTGATTTTGGCTCAGGTCATGATCTTATGGTTTGTGAGATTGAGCCCCACATTGGACTCTGACAGCATGGAGCCTGCTTGGAATTCTCTCCCTCAGTAAAAAACCAAAAATTTTTGAAGTCTTTCTGATCCTTAATTCTCCTAATTATTTAATGATCCACTGTGTACATCTTGGGATGAAACAATCTACAAGCAGACTGACAAGGCAGATGTATATGAAACTTATAAAATGTCATTTAAAAGGGTACATGTCCTTCTTCTTTTCCTACTTGCCATAGGACTTCAGAGTTCATGGATAATTCATTCTCTACTAAACTCAGTGAAAATAATTGAGTACTTACTTGTGTCTGGTACTGAGCTAAGTATTTTACCTTTCATTATTCCTGTCATGTTGGTGTTATTATCCCTACTTTACATATGAGAATACTGAGGCACAACAAGGTCAAGTAACACCCAGGGTTATATAGCTGTTAAATTATAGACTCAGGATTCTAACTCAGAAGTCTGATCTCAGAAGCTATGTTCAAAACTACTCTAGAACTCTCGATAAGAGTAATGATGATGCTAGTGATGACGATAATGACTATTATTATCGAGCCAGCCTTACTAAGTGCTTACTATGTGGCAGGAACTCTATTTTAAGCAATTTTCATATAAAAGAGCAGAAATAAAGTATCGTTCTTAACTTTGTCCCTGAATGCTAATAAAGGAAATTTAGACTTTAAGTATTTTGATGTTTCTTTTTGCTACACACACACACACACACACCATATATATGCACACACACTATATTTATATTTAAAAACAAACCTACATTCTATCTTTTAAATCTAAACCTCCCTTACTTTCAAAGTTCCTATGACCTAGCTGCTTCAAGCCATCCCTACAGTCTTTATTCCAATTCTCTAGATTTGTGGGATCGCTACTCTGTGACCTGCTCCTTCTTGCCTTTGTACTTTTAGTTGTGATAAAATTTGGGGGATCATAGGACTTTAAGGATGGAGGGAACCTTTAATGATAGCGTCTAGTCCAAGTCCCAGATCAGTTGAGGACACTGAGTTCTGACACTTGGGTATTGTTCAGGGTTTTCCAGCTTGTGAGAACAGGCTAGAATCTGACCATGTTGCTCATATTCTAGGCTTTCTGCCCTTATCCTTGCTATGTCCAAATCCTTCCTACCTTAAAATGCCTGGAGTAAGTTCTTCATGTCTGCAGTCTCTTACAGGCTTCACTGGCTTCTTAGGACTCTGATACTTCTTTTTTAATTTTATTTTTTTAAATTTACATCCAAATTAGCATATAGTGCAACAATGATTTCAGGAGTGGATTCCTTAATGCCCCTTACCCATTTAGCCCATCCCCCTTCCCACAACCCCTCCAGTAACCCTCTGTTTGTTCTCCGTATTTAAGAGTCTCTTCTGTTTTGTCCCCATCCCTGTTTTTATATTATTTTCGTTTCCCTTCCCTTAGGTTCATCTGTTTTGTCTCTTAAAGTCCTCATATGAGTGAAGTCATATGATATTTGTCTTTCTCTGACTAATTTTGCTTAGCATAATACCCTCCAGTTCCATCCATGTAGTTGCAGATGGCAAGGACTCTAATTTTTGATAGTAACCGTTTATTTGAACCTTGGCACTCTGAGCATCCTTTCCTTCTCTGGGTCCAAAGCTAGTGTTGGGATAAATTGATCTTTGTCTCTGTCTCCCACCTTTGCTCATTATTCCTTTACCGGGTGTTAGGATTTTGGCTTATGCTCTTGTATTTCAAATGTTATATAATAACAGTTAACACAGTATTTTTTTTTTTTAAAGCGTTCCTGTTGCTAATACGATTTATACAAAAAAGTCTCATTTCATAGATGAATATATTAATATTCTCTGTAACTAGAACTGGCCATCCACCCATACCGCCTATGGGTAATTTATTTAAAAATAATTAGAGTGTAACTATTTATTTGATGATGCTGGAGAATCACGTGCTTTGTACTTGGTTTTCATGAACCTCAGTCTAGATTGCAGTGAAAAACATGTTGTCATTTAAAAGTTTTGGTACATTGATTAGAGGTCTAATTATACTATAATAACATTCTATGTTATTTATCACAAATTAGAAAACCAGGCGCTTGCTAATTATTTCGTAAGCCAATTATTTACCCTGTGGAAAC